CACAATACCAGCTTACTTGCATAGTTCTGGTGAATAAAACATGTAGATAGGTATACATAACATATGTAAATAGCATAATAAAAACAGTAAGAATATGGTGGGAGGAGGGGTGATGGCGAGTACGATGTTGGAGGAGAGAGGGAGGATTGGCTGGCTGGGTGTGGCAGCTCACACTCGCAGAGTTCCGAGTGTGTTTATGGTGTGTGACAGTGTAGTGAGTCAATGTGTGGTAAATATACATAAATGAACCTGTAACATTGGTGTGAATAACAGTATGGTGGGAGGTGGGGTGATGGCGAGTGCGATGTTGGAGGAATAAGGGAGGACTGGCTGGCTGGGTGTGGCAGCTCTCACTTGAGGAGTTCTGTGTGTGTTGATGGTGAATGTATTTAGTGTGTGACAATGTATAGTGTGTAAATAGATTGTATATATACATAAATTAGCATGATACATGGTAAATATGTGCAACATATGTGTACATAAGTGTCATGCAAGTAACACAGTGTCTTTGGACAGTACGAATGTTTTACTGCCATAATATAGTGTATGTGTTCATTATGCATAGGATTAGCACGTAAAAACAAATAAAATGTATTTGGAACTGTGCACAAAAAATTAACAAAAACATATTCGCGGCAACTCGCGCGCCCCGCCCCGGGCGCCCTACTGGCCCCGGGAGCGTACGTCACGGGTGAACAGGAAATGATGACGTCACGCCCCAACTTACGGACCCCATAGCAGCCAAAGTAAGTACAATTTCGATTTTTTTTACATACCCATACTCAGGGAAGGGTTTTTGACACTTAAAAAAAAAAAATCCAGAGAATTTATTTCCTGCGCACTGGGGGGGTGTCATATTTGGAGGCAACGCAGTTAAGGGGTTAAAGGTGAAAACTAGCTACGCAGTACCCCGCACCCCACCAGTGCAATAGCTACCACGTACCCCAAGGCAAACAAGGCGGAAACCCCCGACACACTCGGGGTGGCCAAACGCCAAGCAGCGAAAGGCCAACAGAGGTAGACCCAAGGTGACTTGTGGAAGGGAACCCCAAGCCCCAAGGGCAGTACTTACAGGGCACTCAGGGAAGGTGACCCTAAGCACATGCAGCCCGAGTACCTGAGAATATTACTCCCAGCTCGCACGACCACTGTAAGAGCAGCTCTGAAAACTAATAACAGCACTGAGAAAAGACTGGAGTTGGAGTCACACGGCTATGCATGATCCCATCAGTCGAGGAACTGGGGGTGCAGATCGCCATTGCGAGGGTCTGGGGCTCCCCTTCCCCCTCCCGGTAAGGGGGGGAGCTGCGCAGACATGTGGCGCGGCTCGTGTGACGTCATGCTTGTTTGCTTGTTTTCTTTTGGGGAGTTTTGTCCACTCGTTTGACGATTTACGTTGTTAACCAGAATAGGGGTTTGTTTTGTGGTGCTTACCTTTCTGGGTGCCTGTTCCGGTCGATTGCAGATATAGAATGCTTCAAATCACATGTCCATTTCTATGGACCATTGCTCCTCGTGCCTCTGGGACGGTGACCAGGTTCTGGCTCGTGGTCCCCGGTAGTCCTGGAACACCACCCATATCAACTGATGCAAAATATATAGGGTATTCGTATCAGCCATGGATAGCTCCGGGGAGCTGTAGGGGCTTTCCCCTATGCTTGCGCTGCCTGTACTCGAATAATGTCATCAGTTGATTGGGTAAATTGAGTCACCAGCAAGCAACAAAACTCGCAGGACTCTGGGTCGAAAGTGTCACCGACCCAACAGGCAGCATGATGGAGGCAAAAACAGTGAGTCACCCTGAGAGAAGGGGACAGAGCAACCCTCAAATTCGCACAAAGCGATGGGGGCCTCGGGGGTCACATCCATCAGACCCACGCACCACTGTGGGGTTTCCCAGGGTCCTGAGACGGAACGCATGCTTAGGGAAGGCCAGGCAGGTTGCTGCTAACCGGTGCCCAAGTCTACCAAACAAATCTTTCTAATAGCTGAACCCCCAGGACGTGTACACTCACGGGGACCTAGTATGGGGGGTACCACCCGAATGTGAAAAGCACTCAGTGCACAGGGGGCAATAACCAAGGCAGACCCCCCCCCCACCATGCAAACAAACAAAAAGAAAAAGAAAACCTTGCAAGAGGACAGCATAGCCACTATGAATGGTGAAAACAAGCTGCATAGTACCCTGCGCTCCTTACTAATGCAAACTGCCTCCTACCCTAAGGTGAACTAAGGGAGCTAGAACACCCTAGCACACAAAGGGCGGCTGAAAACCGAGCAGCCAACGGCTAAGCAGAGGCAGAACCCAAGGAACTTCTGGAAGGTGGCCCCAAGGGCAGTACTTACCAGGCACCTAGGGAAGGAAGCCCTAAGCGCATGCAGCCCGAGTACTGAAGAAATATTCCTGGCTCACGCACCACTGAGAAGACAGCCACCACACACAAGGCATAGAGCTGAAACAAGATTGGAGCTAGAGCACACGACTTCCACCTAGCGCACCAGCCTCAGAACTGGGGTGTGGATTGCCAGCACGGGGGTCTGGGGCACCCCCTTCCCCCTTTCCCCTCCCAGGGAGGGTGGAGCTGCACAGACAGCGCCGCGGCGACATGTGACGTTGTGTTCATTTCTATTTGGGGAGTTCTGTCCACTAGTTCTGCTTTTCGTAGCAATTTTTACCAGAATAGGGGTTTGTTTTGGGGCACTTATCTTTCTGGGTGCCTTACCTAGTCGATGGAAGCATTCTATGTCTGCCAACCACATGGGTTTTTTATAGGCCATTGCTCCTCGCGCCTCTCTGAGGGGGCCAGGTTCTGGCTCGTAGTCCCCAGTAGGCCCACACAACTCCATACACATGACTGATGCCAAAGTCTGACATTAGCAATATCAGCCTGGATAGCTCTGGGGAGCCGAAGGGGCTGCCCCAAAAAACCTTTGACAATCACAGGCACAACCATACACGAGTAGACATGATGTATCTTCCAGATGTTATTTTTCTCACTGGAGCAGTCCACACACTCCTCAGAAGTTACAAACATGCTCACAAATACAGGCCATCACACGAGGGGTAAATACTCTGCATTTCTTATGAAGCTGAACAGTTGGCTGAGTGTGAGAGAGGAACCCCAGTCAATTGGCCACTGCTGTCACCCTCCTCAACAATCATTTGAATTTTTATAGTTTTATATTATGTACATATTCTATTTTGTTTACTCTATTAGTAATAAAATCATTCTACAAAATCTCATTTTGTAGAATGAGATGTTTTATCACCATAGAACTATTTTCTAATCCTCAAAGTACGATTACAGTCATTGTCATGTGTTGATCGTCTAGTACATTTCGGTTGTCATAAAATGATGATCTGTTTTGTACCAATGTTTGAACACAAATGTTACCCATATAGTTTCAATTGTTAAGTAGTATCATGGGAGGCAAAATAATAATTTGGAGTGAAAATAACTTCAGCTGCTGGTCTCCCATTATCATATGATGATCGTAATACTTACCTAGGCCGGCAAAAAGATTGTGGGAAATTACCATGGAATCTTAACACTTTTGTTCCTTAGGAACAGAGATGACGTTCACAAATAACTGCGGATGATCCTTAGGGACGTAGGCGACGTCCAAAATTAAAATAGGTGATAAAATTCAGGTTTTTATTCGATCTTGATGGGACTGGTTTTAAAATGTGTGCCAACATCTTCCCATTCTATTACAAACTGAGGTGAAAATCGTGGTGAGAAACTTTAAAAAGAGTAAATACATTTGTGAGCAGGTGTTGCGGGTGTGCCAATATGTGCTCGCTCACGGGTAATTCTTGGCCCGACTTTCGGGTTTGCTGCGGGTGGGGTGCGCCAGGCTATTGAACCTTGTATGCATATACCCCTGTAGGGAATTCTATTGCAAACAAATTGATACCAAAATGAATGACGTACAGTGGTACCTCGGTTTAAGAGTTTAATCCGTTCCTGGAAACAGCTCGTATTCCGAAGCTAATTTCCCCATAAGAAATAATGGGAAATGAATTAATCCATTCCTGACTACCCCAAAAACCCCACATCAAACTAAATTTTATACCATCATCTTTCGAATGATCTCTTGTTTCTCCTCTATTGTCATCCTCACATGGGCTTTCTTGCCTTGATCCTTACCACTGGCTTTCTTGGGACCCATGGTGAGATATATAATAACTTTTATGGTCAAATGACCAAAAATCCAACAAAACACTGAAAATCTGGGTGAAGAATTGACATGGGATAGTCACTTGGCACGAGGCACTGGTAAACTGAGGGGCGGAGGGGCGACGATCGCCGTACCACCACGCGCTAGGTCGGCCTGAACGTGTATCAACAAACACGCATTCCGAGGTAACCCTCGCCTTCCTAGGCACATTTTTCGAGGAAATCCGGCTCATATTCCGAAAAACTCGTATACAGGGACACTCGTATTCCGAGGTACCACTGTACAATGAAAATTGAGGTGAGAAACTTGAAAAGAGTAAATACTGTACATTTGTGAGCGGGTGTTGCGGGTGTGCCAATGGGTGCTCACTCACGGATAACGCTTGGCCGACTTTTGGCTTTGCTGCGGGTGGGGCTCGCCAGGCTTTTGGACCTTATATGCATATATCCCTGTAGGGAATTCTATTGCGAACATTTTGATACTAAAATGAATGACGTACAACGAAATTTGAGGTGATAAAACTGAGAAGAGTAAACACATTTCAGTGATACCGCACTCTCGCGGGAAACACCTGGGCCACCTTGGGGTAGTCTGGCACACGCATGCCCAGAATGCAAAAGTGTTAAAATTATATGGGGAAAACTCCAAACCCATGATCTGCCCTTTATTCTGGACTTGGGGAAGTATTAACTTATGTCTAGACATAGGCTTACAAATGTGTAAACCAAAATGATCAACAGTAGTAAATAATATACGATAATCTGTAACATAAAAAATATCACTTAAATTATGCGTCAATACTTCATGCAAGAACTTACCTAGAAGTTTGAAGCAAATAGTGTCTGACATGACAACTGTGATGGCTAGGCCACACCAAGCAACAATGACACAAAAGAGGTAAAGCCAAAACTGGTGATGGGAGAGCAGGTCATCAAAGGTGGTGGGTGGGAGAGTGAGGGGAGCCCCAAAGTAACTCATTAGGTTCCCATCATCACACAGTAATGTGCAGTTGATGGTAGTCTGGGCAGGACAGGTGGGATCACTCACCTAAACAATCAAGATGCAAATCATCAGTATTCTTTAAAATGTTAACAATACTTATTAATAATTATAACTACCGGGTATCGAACAAATGAATGTTTAAATGATACATTCACATACGTACGTGAACTGTAATTTACATTACAACAATATAGTGCTTTTGAGTGTAATAAAACGCCTTTTTCTGAGCTGTCTCTCGGAAACTCCCCTTAGCTAGAGGCACTGACACTACTAAGGCACTGAAAATGCCACTCTTCTAGGTTATGTTTTCTGCATATGCAGAAAATGAACTCTTATAATGTCTTGTCCTCTGGAAACAAATGGGGAACACCAGGAGATAAGAGATCAATCCACTACCAAGAGAAACTGCCTCTATGATATACAAACATTCTGAAACACTTAAAACCTACTCCAAATGTTTACTTGGCAACACTGATTTGCCAAGAAATGCTCTGAAACTACTGAAGAAGCCAGTCAGCACCAAGTGGTAACCCTTCAGACAAGAGGGTCAAGAGAAGGTGGAATCTTGACCTTGAGACCAGTACACCCCTATTATCTCAAGGAAGCCAAGAATCAAATGGAGGTAATGGGGAGCTACCAAAGGATCGCTCAGAAATGAGTTTTCTTATACTCAATGCTATATTTCTGAGCCGTGTCCCTCAGTAGCTTCCCTTAGCTACCTTCCCATTATACTTCTATAAATGTAAGGAGAAGAGTGAAAAAAAAAAATGTATTGGGTGACTTACCCAAGGAAGAAGCAGCAGAAGAAATGGACCCAAGGAGTTCAGATGGCACATATTAAGTTGAAATCAGATGTCCTAACACCACACACCTGCGTTGAGGACGAGAGAGGATCTGGAAGATATCTGAATGTGAGATTATGTTTAGATCTCCAGAAACCCCAGATCCTAGTATTGGCCATGGACATAGCAGAAAGAAGGATGACAAATCCACATAATTCATTGTCATAGGTGCAAAGGTAAGCTCTTGGCTGACTTAGCTTGACTCCCCGACAAATGCTTCGAGATATGTGTACCTGGTGCTGGGTAATATCATACAGATATTAAAGAAGAGAGCAGGAGAATTACAACCCTTGGTAGCCAAACTGCAGATTGCACCAGACCACTGTAGGAAAACTGATCAAGCAATGTACAATTTAGGTATCCATTACCAATGCACAGCACATGCAAGTTGCCAACTAGATTTTTGGGCACTAATGCTCGAAGAAAAGCTGTTTTAAAGGTAATATTCTTAAGCAAAGGCTTAAGCTCAAAAGTGAGGAAAGAAAGTCCAGGAACCAAGCCGACTTAAAGGGGCATGTGTCAGTCACAAATAAAAATGGTTTGACCTAATTTAATGATGAAGTGGAAGCACACTCTAAGCAGAACTTTAGAGGTAAGAGTTCAGCCTGCACCACTTGATAAGACACAAAGTTCCACAAAATAGTCAAGAAAGAAATGACATGACCAGTGTCACGTTGAGGAGAACAAAAGGCTAAAAACTGATGTAAGTAACACATCACCTCATTCTGAGTGAGGACAATGATAAGTGTTGGAAACCAGGGCTAAACTAGCCACTTGGAAGCAAAGAGAATGACAGCCCACAAAGTTCCCAAACTAGGATTACTTTGGGAGAACTTTGGGATAATCACCTGGAGTGGAGAAAATAGGTAGATGCACTACTTGTGAAAAGTGTTTAATGCCAATGTTTATCTATCAGTGACTATGGGGGAGTGAGATCTAGCTTCTCAGGCCTCACCTCCTAGGAGTTTATACCTGGCACACTAATTACCTCTCTCATCATTAACGTTTTCATCATATTTCTTTCTAAATCCTGTAGATGGACTTGGCTTCAACAACCTCTTCAGAGCATTTCACTTGCCGACCACCCGTACAGGTAACGAGACATTCCCAACATCTGTTTGACTCAACTGCGAGTCCAGCTTTCACCAATGTTTCCTCATCCAACCTCTTTTTAATTTAAATAAGCTTCCTTTATCCAAATTCTGTTTATGCCTCACAATAAGTGGGTTCCATGCTGGAGCTGCATACTTAATTAATGGTCTCACATATGATATGAGTATAGACTTCAAAGCCTCCTTGTTTACATTCTTAAATGACATTTTTACGTTTGCTAATTTCCCACATGCCGCTGATGTTATCTTGTTCACATGAACTTCTGGTGTTAGTGTTATGATTGTCTACTTTGAGTAGGGAAGGGAGGGCAAACGAGCTTGTGGTAGCTTGGAGAGATTTCGATCATTTGTTTACATAGTTGGGAGAGTTCTTTAGACAGTTAATAGAGACTGCTGTCTCTACTGAAACCAACAGTGGTCTGTTTTGTCTCACTGACTTTCTGGTTGCTTTCCTGGTGGTGACATAACTACATAAATGTCATTGCTCCCTGCACCTCTTTAGGTGGGAGTGAGGGGCTAGGTTCTGGCTCTGGTCTTCAGTAGGCCGGTACAACTCTGCAAACGATGCAACTTAAATAGTGGTACACCATCAGTGATAGTAGCTTCAGGGAGCCACAAGGGACTCCCCAGGAAATGATATCTTGAACCAAAGGGACAACCAAGAATAAAGGGAAGGAAAGAAAGTTGTCTTGACTCAAAGTCAAGACAACTGGCTACAACCTACGACCCAAAGCCACACACGAATGCTTAGGACCAGGAATGTTTACTAAATATCGGGCAGTCAAGACCCTATTCGACCTCCAAAATCCCCGTGCCCGAATGTCAGCCCAAAATATGTTGCCGAAGACGGCAGCCAAAGCAGCAAACTTATGAATGACATGGGCACGAGGATACACCGCAGACTGGCTAGACTTAATAACCCTGCGGACGACCTGAGAGACCCAAGCTCTGGGACAGGGAACGAAGGAAAACGGATCAACCCAAAGCGCATCCCCGACCACAGAGGCTGAGGCGTGCAGATAATGGTGAAGAGCCGCAACCGAACACAATATACAATACACCCCCGGGCTGACCAACTAAGCATCAATGACCCAAGGGCCCCTCCGGAAAGTCGCCGTCTTGTTCTTTGCCAGAAAAGGAGGAGCAGCTGCAACCGAACAAACCGACCGCCAGGACCAAAGGAGCAGAAACCCCTGCCCCAGAAGAGAGCATGAAGCTCACCATTGATTCCAGAAGCCAATACCAACAGAAAGAGAGCCTTGGAAAAACAATCTTGAACTGAAGGGGCCACACCACTAACAAGAGGAGGAGAGAGCACCATGTCCAAGGACCAGGAAGGCTCAGGTAGCGCATGAGCAGGCCGGAGGTGAAACAAAGCACGAGAAAACCAGCAGAACGAGGCAGAAGTAACGTCCACCCCAAATGCAAGCTGGACCGGCTCCACCAGTGCCGCACGATACGAGGCAACATCATTCGACATCAAATGATGGTCCTGAGAAAGGACAAACCAACCCGATCAGAGATAGAAGACAACCTACAAAGAGACAGAAAATGGTGAGAAAAATTCCAGGAGACTTCATTCTGTTACTTGAAGCAACCAAGGACTGAAGAGAATCCCCGTGGTTCTGGCAATGAACCACCGGAGTACAGTCTGAATGGAGCTGGATGGTCAAACCCTAAGCACCCGATGCACCAGATGAAGACCCAGCACCCAGCACCTCCACATCCTCCTCAAGCCAATCCAAGGACAGCTGGAGAAGGGAAAATAAACATAAGACCGAAGCCAAATACCCACGGGTGCCCATGTCCTCAACAACCAAGGCAGCCAAAAGGGCAGGAACGTGCATGTGCAGCTGCACAACGACAACATCCTGAGGAAGCTCAGGGGCGAACAAGCATGCATTACGGTGCTCAAACTCGCTCCCCCAGGTAAACTTGTACAACAGTAGAAGTATCCCGCCAATCAAGCATGCGGGTACAACAAAACTATGCTAAGTGCCAAATGAAAAGAAAGGACAGTCCGCTAGCCAGGAAGACTCCGGTAACTCATAAAGCACCCAATAGGGGAACGTCGACCCAAACTCAAAAGACGACTGATCCATCACTGTGGCATAATCCGTCTCTCGCAGGAGGTATGCAGCGACGGCCTCCAGAACCTCCCTAGGGAGGATTTGAGAAGTCGAAAACCTCCAGAAAGAAGGGACCGAAGAACCCAAAGGAACCCGGAACCGAACCCGGGGAGCAGCCAACGCCAAATATCCAGGGAGGGGGGATAAGAAAACCCCTCTTCCCTGCAATAACAAGCCCACCGAAGATGGTACCAACACCGAAGCGGCGTCAAATGGGGCCCAAGGCCCCAAAGTCAACTCCTGCCCAGCCCCGGGATCCTCCACCCCAGGATCTAGGGCAGAGTCGTCCTCCACACCTTTAGCCCACATAGAAAAGGCTAGTCCAGCAGGAAAAAGCAGAAAAGAAGGGGGTCTGCTGGTAAGACCCAGAAGCTTCAGCTGGAGGAACCAGCTCAAATGCCTCTGTCCGCAACTCAGATGGGGCAGCCCCCGAAGCCGCCAGTCTCACCATCATCTAAACCCTGCCCAGACTTCGAAATCCTCAGACATTTGGGAGCCGGGAGCAGGATGAACAACACCAACCTGGGAAGGACTCAAGAGTGCGGACGAAACCAAACTCGGAGCAACTAATGCCCCAAAATCTGGGTCCCTGTAACCCAAATGGGGTAGTCTCGGGGAATCCAGGTGAGCAACCAACCTAGTGTGCTGCAGTATACTATACCGTGCATGCAACGCCAAAGTCGCCTATACCTGAATATCAAGATAAGGAGAATGGGTAAATTGGAGCACTAGCAAGGAACAAGACTTGCAGGACTCCAGGTCAAAGGTGTCATCATGGAGGCATGATGGAGGCAAAACTGGTGAGTGTCACCCTGAGACAAGAGAGACAGCAACCTTCAAACTCGCACCCGGCAGGTTGGTACCCAGAGGACACGTTTATAGGGCCAATGAGTACCAATAGGGATTTCCAGGGCCCTTCGGCTGACTGCTAAGGGAAGCCCTGGCAAGGTTCTGCTAACCAGTTTGGCCCAACTACCAAGAAAACTGCTAAAACTGAGTCCCTGCGATGTGCCCAAGCACGAGGACCTAGCGGATTCCCACCAAGATAACAGAGGGCAGATAACAACTAAGGGGCAGACCTCCCTTCAGGTAAATTAAAGAAAAAGAAAAAGAAACCCTGCGAAAGCACGTCTCCAGGAGGAACAGAAACTGTCCACCGTATATAATGGGAGGTAAGCTGCACAGTACCTTGCATCCCTACCAGCAACAACACCACTTTCTACCCAAGCCAAACAGAAGGAAGAAAATCCCCAGCTGGCCCCTATGACGGGCAATTGCCAAGCAGCAAAAGATCCCTACAGAAGCTGTTCCCGAATGCCTTGTGGAAGGGAACCCCAGAACACAAGGGTAGTACTTACAGGGCACTTAGGGAAGTCGGTCCTAAGTGCATGCAGCCCCAGTACTGATCAATTACTCCTGGCAATTGCATTGCACTGCACTGCAGAAAGACACCACAAGGCACAAGATTGCACAGAATGAGAGGCCAGAATCAGAATCACGACTGCCACAATCAATAATCAGCCAAGGAACTGATAGCCCCCCCGGATGATGGACCCGACGGCGTTAGTGATGTTTCCTTGTTTTAGTTTGGGAGTTCTGCCTCCCTGTTTGGCTTTTAGGTAGCAAATTTTTACCATGTGGGGTTTGTTTTGTTATGCTTACCTTTCTGGGTGCCAACACCGGTCGATGGCAGACACGGAATGCTTCCAAACACATGGGGGTTTCCATAGGCCGTTGCTCCCCTAGCCCCTTTGAGGGGGCCAGGTTTTGGCTCTTAATCCCTGGTAGGCAAAAGAACTCCCATCGACTGATGCCACGGTCTAATACATACATATCAGCCCAGTAAGCTCCTGAAAGCCATAGGGGCTCCCGACAGAAAAGGCGGTGAAAACCTAAGAGCCAGGGCCCAAGTGGATTCCAAGGAGAGAGTGAGCATGGCCTGCCAGCATGCAAGGTGAGTAGCAAAGAACAGACACAGCCTCCCTGAGAATTGGCGCAAACAGTTTTAACAGTGTGGCTGAGGCCAAAGGCCCGATACTCAACACCTCCACAAGCCAGTCCAAGGACAGCTCGAGAAGGGAAAAGAAGCGCAAGATCGAGGCCAAATGGCCACAAGCGCACAAGTCCTTAGCTACCGAAGACGGCGAAAGGGTGGGAACCTGCACAAGGCCAACATCCCAAGGAAGCACAGTGGCGAACAAGCACGCATTAAGGTGCTCAAACTCGCCCCCCCCCTCCCGATAAACCTGCAGAACGGTAGCAGCCTCCCGCCATTTGAGCGTGCGGGTCCAACAAAACCCATGCCACACTCTCTGCAAAAAGAAAGAACAGTCTGCCAGTAAGGAAGACTCCGGGACCTCATAATGCACCCAATACTGGGAAGAAGAACCGAACTCAAACGAGGACAAATCCATCATAGAGGCAGAATCCATGTTTTGCAGGAGGTTTGCTGCAAGAGGCTCCCAAACCTCCTTAGGCAAGATTCGAGAGGCAGGAAACCTCCAGAAGGAAGGCAGCGAGGAACCAAAGGGGAACCCGGAACTGAACCCAAATCATACTCGTACAGGGAAGGGGGGTAAAAAAAAAAAACTCTCCCTGCTGCAACAAACCCTGCGAAGAGGGCACCAAAACCCAAGCGGGATAAAAGGGGGCCTAAGCCCCCCCAGGTCAACTCCTCAGTCCCGGGATCCTCCAAACCAGGACCCGGGGCAGAGCCATCCTCCATGACCTCTACCCCTGAAGAAAAAGGGAAAGGTAGCAAAGAATGGGGTCTGCTGGTAGGACCCAGAAACCTCGGCAGGAGGAGGAGGCTCGAATACCTTCCCCCCCAAACTCGAATAGGGCATACCCTAAAGCTGCCCGAGCCTCATCACCAACTAAACCCTGCCCTGACTCAGGAACCCTCAGATGTTTTGGAGACAAGAGCAGGGTGGGGGGGTGGAGATGGGGCGAACAACACCAACGGGGTAAGGACTGGGAAGTGCGGACTGAACCAAAGTCGAAAGCAAATAACGCCCCCAAGTCCGGGTACTATAACCAAAACAGGGCACCCGAGTGGGCAACCAACCTAGCGCGTTGCAGCAACCTAAACCTAGCGCGTTGCAGCAACCTAAACCTAGCATGCAATGCAGACGCCACCTTTACCTGAACCTCAATGTCAATAGAATGGGTAAATTGGAGAACGAGCAGAGAACACATCTCGCAAGACTCCAGGTTAAAGGTGTCTTTGACCCAACAGGCAGCATGACGGAGGCAAAAACCGTGACTGTTGCCCTGAGACAAAGGCACAGAAATTTTCAAATTTAAACGAGGTGAGCTGGAATTCAGAAGGCGCATCCATTGGTCTACCAAGCCCGATGGGGTTTTCCAGGGCCAGCAGGCTGACTGCAATGGAAAGCCCAAGCAAGGTGCTGCAAAGCTGGTTAAACCCAAGTAACTAACAAAGGGGGGGGGGGGGGATGAGCTAAAAACTGAACCCCTGCGACATGTATAATCACGAGGGCCTAGAGGAGGACCACCAAAGTACCTGAAGTGGATCAATAGCCAAACAAGGCAGGCAAGGAAAACAAAAATAAAATAAAACCTCGCAAAAGTACAACGTCACCCGTAGGAACGGTCGCTGTGCTGGTAGACAAGCTGCGCAGCATCTTACACCCCCTACCAGCAGACAACACCACTTCCTTCATAAGGCCAAACAAAGGCCACGAAACCCCAGCTGGCCCCAAGGGCGGGGTAAATGCTGAGCAGCAAGAACCCCTACAGAAGTGGAGTCCCAAAGGCACTATGGAAGATAACTCTAGCACCCGAGGGTAGTACTTACAGGGCACTTAGTGAAGGCAGTCTTAAGCATATACAGCCCCAGTACACTGATGTTACACCTGGCCACCAACACCACAACACAGCAGGAAACACCACTAATGCAAAACACTGCTAAGAAATCAAGACCAGAGTTGACGACCACCCCAGATTGCATCAGCCAACGAACTGGGGTGTGAGTAGCCAGTGCAGGGATCCAGGGCCACCCCCTCCCCCTTCTGGGGGAGGGGAGGGCTGCACGGATGAGCAGCGCAGCAGCGGTATATGACATTTGCTTGTTTCCTAGAGTGTTGGGAGAGTTCTGCTTCTCTGTTCTGTCTTAGGTTGCAATTTTCTTACCAAGTGGGGTTTGTTTTCTTCTGCCTACATTTCTGGGTGCCTAGCCCTGGTTGATGGCAGACAAGTAATACCACCACCCACATGGGGTCTCCATAGGCTATTGCTCCCTTGCCTCTCTGAGGGGGCCAGATTCTGGCTCGTGGTCCCCGGTAGGCTGAACTCCAATTGACTGATGCCCCAGACTAATATATCGCATATCAGTCCGATAGCTCTAGAGAGCTGACGGGGCTCCCCACAGTAAACATAGACTCGCTAAAGCTGGCGAATCAAGGTGGTCGGCACTCAGGAACATCAGCGACAGGAATGGAGGTATAATGATGTGGAAGCCAGGAGATTTTGGTGGTGCTCCCACCTGTTGGTGGCCAGCCGTAACTAGGGAGCTTCAATCTAGATACCAAGTGAATTGTTTGAAGAGTAATTTACTGCTTTAGTTCTTTTCTCTCTATGAATCTTGGAATTGTCTGTATTGCTTTGCTTACTTTCTGGATGTCTTCTCAGTGAGGGTGATCATTACAATCCCCTGCTCCCTGTGCCTCTGTGAGGGGGCCAGGTTCTGGCTCTGGTCCCCAGTGGGCCACTCAGGACTCCTAAGGCTGGTGTGATTCATCTGTGTGGAGCTGTCTTAGCGAGCTAGTTTCAGGAAGCCACTGATCAGATCATCCAGAGAAGTAATTTTGAATTTAGCACTTAGTCTTACATATAAGATACAAAACTCATAAAACTTATAAGAATTAATGACCGTGAGGCCAACATTTACCTCTTTTCCAGTTATTGTAATGTTTGAGACAGGGAAGAAAGTGCAGAGATGTTCTTGATCTGTGTCAAGCAAATTTGTGGATGCTGTGAAGTTGAGTTTTGTATCTTGACAGGTTGAAGATGCATTCCAGGCTTTGCAAATATCTATGTTGCCATCATCAGAATCACATTGTACCTGAAAAGTTCCTTAACACATGTGAATCAAATAATAACTGTACAACTTCTAGCTAAGTCTTACAGCCACAAATTAAAAGGTTGTGCTAAGAGATGATATGAATGAATTTTGAAGTCAGAAAAGTTGGACAGACTTGAAGGTTCACCTACCAAAACAACAACAAAAAACATTAATTGTAATGAAATGCCAATTTCTGAGTGAGCCCCAATGGCTCCTTGAAGATATACACTGAGATTGTTCCCCATCTTCTAGGTGGCATCAGCCATGGACTTCATAGGCCTGTAAAGCCAATGGAAGGAGTCGGCGTCGACCGTCCATTCCGTGGAGAGGCGAACGAAACGAGGCAGGCCGTCGGCGAAGACGTTGGGCACTCCCCGCACGTGAACTGCCAGGAGAGCTAAACCCCGAGAACTCAACAGACGAGTCATCCGAAGCGACCAGCGCCAAAGAGCCAAGGACCGCATCGAACCCCCTCGGTTCAGATGATGAGCCACCAGGGAGCAGTCCAAATGGAGCCAGACTGTCAACCCGCGGGCGACTGGAATCCTCCGAAGAGCAAACCCCACCACCACGAACTCCCGTACAGTGCTGTGGGCTTGACGGAAGGACGGACCCCACCGTCCCTGGCCGGCCTGGTGAGCACTGGTCACAAAGCCCCAGCCAAGAGACGACGCGTCCATGTACACATTGAGTGAGGGCTCGGGTAGGCGCCAAGGCACTGAATCTTGAAAAACCCGAAGAGGAAGCCGGTGATGCAGCAACTGACGCAAAGCACCCAGGGTCCAAACCCAGCGATCTCGAGAGAGGCGGAAGGGACGTCCCTGAAAGAACCAGAACAGCCAATGAAGCCAAACCCGACCCAGTGGGTAGACCAGCATCGTGATGTTCAGGCTCCAGCACAGACCCTCGAGCAATGGCTGGGTGACCCGGGAGTCCCCCAGAAACAGGCACAAGCGGGACCGCAGCCGCAGAAGAGACTCCGGAGGAAGAGACAAGGAAGCGGTCCGAGAGTCCCACGCAACGGCCCAGCCAGGTCTGAAGCTGGGAGGGAACCAGATGGGACTTCCTCCAGTTCACCAAGAACCCAAACCCAGCATGCTGAGAAAGAATTGGATCCCTGGCTAGCAGACAAGCGGACAGGCTGGGAGCCCAAACAAGCCAGCTGTCGAGGTAGGCCAACACCCAAACACCTAACAGACGCAGACGGGTCATCACGACCCGCGTGAGGAGCGTGAAAATGTGAGGTGCCGGGTTCAAACCGAACGGAAAACAACGAAAGCGGTAAGCACGGAGCCCCACAACAAAACCGAGCCAGTCCCAGAACCCAGGATGAATCAGGACGTGCCACTAAGCGTCCCGGAGGTCCAGGGACACCATCCAAGCGCCTGGCTCCAACAGAAGCCGAACCTGGGACAACGTGGTCATCCGAAAGGAGGGGCAATGAACTTGTCCCGTTCAGACGGGACAAGTCCAGAATGAACTGCAGGTCCGCACAGTCCCATTTCGGGACTGGAAATAGACGCCAATCCCATCTGAGGGACGTCGTTGTTTTGACCACGCCCAAGCGAACCCACTCTAAGATGACCTAACAGAGCACAGGGGAAGAAGGCTGCCCTGCCCCCCCCCCAAAGGGAAAGGGGGCCACCCAACGCCACCGGAGGCCGTGCGAAACGACCCGAAATGCCCACAAATAGTGGGACCAGGCGTGAGCGAACAGCACAAGCCTCCCCCCCCCATCACCCCGTCAATGGGGCGAACTGCGAAAGGGCTGACACCTCTTACGAGACCCAGAACCTCGCACTGAGCGAACACCGCGCCAACCAGACGAAGGCGGGTCCAGGAGGAGGAGCTGAACCCGAACCTGACACCAATGACCTACCACAATGAGAGGAACCCCGAGCCTTGGCACGACCCTTCCGGGAAGGTTCACCACGGGACCTCTGGAGAACTAGCAAGTCCAACATAGGACGGCAAGAAGCCGAAGCAGCCTGAATATATTGCGCAACGGCGGAAGGCTCAAACAAAAGGGGGGGGGGAAAAAAGGGGAAGACATCCTAAGAGCCAAGGCCCAAGTGGATTCCACAAAGGAGGCAAGCACCGTCTGCCGACACACGAGCCGGGAGGCATAAAACAGAGCCACCGCATCCCACAAGATAGGCGTGAAAAGCTTCAGCAAGGCAGCCGACAAATGAGCCGCCGAGGCCAAGGCGCCAGACCCAGGAACAGCCCCAAGTGTCCCCACATCCTCTGTGAGCCAGTCAGAAGACAGCTCCAGGAGGGAAAAGAAGCGCAAGGCCGGAACCAAAAGGCCCTGAGCGTGCTAGTCCTCCGCTGCCGAAAGGGAGGGAACCTGCACATGGAGCTGAATGACACCAACATCCCGAGGAAAGGGCAGGAGCAAACAAGCACTCATTGAGGAGCTCAAGGTCGCCCCCCAGGAAAACCTGAAGCACCATCAAAGCCTTCCGCCACTCAAGCGTGCAGGAATGACAGAAGGAGTTATTCGTTTGCCTTGTTCGGGTTGAATGTAGACACAGTAGTCGCTTCTGTATATATTTATTGACCAAGACAACAAGGTATATATCTGGCCAGCCGAGGTCCACCTACTCTGAGTCTGTGTGGATAACTGAGGCTGCTGGGAGCATGGCTTGATGCTCCTCTGTCTGGCATGACGTCAGAGGCCTACTTGCCTGTGATTGGTTACATTTCAACTGACATAGAATTTGAGTATAACAGAGTGCCAAGACTCCAAGGTAATGACAGGACAGTCCACCAGCCAGGACGACTCTGGAACCTCGTAACGGAGCCAGAAAGGGAACGAAGTCCCAAACCTGAAAGCCGAGGGATCCATTGCCGAGGCATAATCCGGGTCACGCAGGTTTGCTGCAAGGGCCGCCCGCACCGAAGCAGGTTAGATGCGATAAGCCGAAAACGTCCAGAAAGATGGAACCAAAGCGCCCGGGGGAACACGGAACCAAACCAGGGGAGGGGCAGACACCAAGTCCAACTCGTACACAGAGGGGGGGAAAAGAAAACCCCACTCCTTATAACAGTAAGCCTCACTCAGAGGGTAGAAAAACCCAGGCGAGGCCCAGTGGGGCCCAAGGCCCCATGTCAGCCCCTCCCCAGCCCCAGGGTTCTCCTCTGCAGGATCCAGGGCCGAGTCCTCCCCCCAAGCACCGACCCTACCAGACAAGGCCGGCGCAGCCATAGAAGCCAGATAGAATGAGGCCCACTGGTCAGACCCAGAGGCTTCGGCCAGGGGAGGAGACTCGAATGCCTCCATTGCCACACCGGAAGGGGCATTCCCCGAGGCTGCCAGAGTCTCAAGACCAACTAACCCCTGCCCCGACTCCGAAACCCTCAGACATTTCGGGGTTGGAAGCAGGGGAGGGGGACCAGAATGAACAACAGGAGGGAAAGGACCAGGAGGTGCGGACTGAACCAGGGTCGAAGCGACCCCCACCCCCAAGTCCGGGTCCCTATAAGCAAAACAGGGCAGCCCCGAAGCATCCGGGTGAGCAACCAACCGAGCGTGTTGCAACAACCTAAACCTAGAATGCAACGCCTGTGCAGCCTGTATCTGAAGATGATCATCCACAGATTGGGTAAATTAAGTCACCAGCAAGCAACAATACTCACAGGACTCGGGGTCGAAAGTGTCCTCGACCCAACAGGCTGTGTGACGGAGGCAAAAACAGTGAGGGGACGCCTTGAGACAAGGAGACCAAACAACCCTCAAACTCGCATGAAGCGAGGGGGGGGACCTCGGGGTCACATCCATCAGACCCACGCGTCCCCTAGCGAATTCCCAGGGTCCTGAGCGTTTTCTTGAAGAGGACTTGCGCTCAGGTAAACCCAGGCAGGGTACTGCTAACCGGCGCCCAAAACTACCAAACAAACTCTCTAAAGCTGAAACCCAGGGATGTGTACACTCACGGGGACCAAGCAGGGGGCACCACCAAGTATTAGGGTGAGGTCAAACACCAGTGGCAAATAGGACAACGTACCCCAAGGAACAGAGCCGGCCACTGCAATAGGTGATAACTAGCTGCGCAGCACCCTGCGCCCCTTACCAGTGCGAAAACTGCCTCTTACCCCAAAGGTAAACTAGGGAGACAAAACACCCAAGTACCCAAAGGGCGGCAGAGAAACCGAGCAGTAAAACGGACACACAGAGGCAGACCCCGAGGAACTTGTGGAAGGTAACCCCAAGCTCCAAGGGCAGTACTTACAAGGCACCTAGGGAAGGCAACCCTAGGCGCATGCAGCCTGAGTACTGAGGAATAACTCCTGGCTCTCGCACCCCTGGAGTACAGCAGCCACACACAAGGCACAGCGCCGCAAAAATACTGGAGCCAGAGCACACAACCGAGCCGATAGCATCAGCCTCAAGAACTGGGGTGTGGATCGCCGGCGTGGTAGGTCTGGGGATACCCCTTCCCCCTCCCGGGGAGGGGGGAGGGGTTGCGCAGACAACGGCGCGGCGACGGGTGACGTCATACTAGTTTGCTCGTTTTTGTTTGGGGAGTTTTATCCACTCGTTCAGTTTTTGGTTGCAATTTTCACCAGAATAGGAGTTTGTTTTGGGACGTCTACCTTTCTGGGTGCCTAACCCGGTCAATGGCAGACATAGAATGCTTCCAATTACATGGGGGTTTCTATAGGCCATTGCTCCCCTTGCCTCTCTAGAGGGGGGCCAGGTTCTGGCTTGTGGTCCCCAGTAGGCCCATAAGAACTCCATACACATGACTGATGCCAAAGTCTGACATTAGCATATCAGCCTAGTAAGCTCCGGGAAGCCATAGGGGCTCCTCCCAGAAAGAAAGGTGAAACGCCATGCAACCTCTGAAGAGTCAACTAACACAACACTTGTACCCCCCATTAGACTATTTTACAGTTACTTCTTTTCGACTGCTCATAAAATGGAGGAAAGGGTCCTGAAAGATATTGTTGATGGGAACATTATCCCTACAGACAAAAATCAGAAAATATAATTG